CTTCGACCATGTGCCCAACTGGCGAGATCTGCTCGGCCCTAGCCCCCATTTGAACGTTTTCGGGGAGGTTCCTGACGACGGGTATCATATTAGAGTTAAAGCACTAGATGATGACTCGTTTGCTGGAGATGCGGTAGTAGGGGGTACAGGGAGGGATGATGTGAACGATTTGTGGTATGTAGAGTGACGATGACTCAGAGCCGCCCTTTTAACTTCCTAGCCGATCCAAGATGGGGACCATGAGAACCTCTGATGTTGTCGAGTCCGAGGGGTTGAGTTGGTGTGACGGGGTGACTGTGATTACGCCAGCTGATTTTTCTCGATCGATCATGATGATGATGCCCTCGGCTAGCATGCCTCGTCGCCCTGATGAAGCTCCTAACTACGAGGCCGCTCCTATGGAACACAAGAATGAGTTCAATCCTTACATGGACAATGGAGGGTAATGTGTGATGGGTGATGTTTTTCTGATGTTACTGCTGTTGTCAGGACCTGCATCGCTGTTCCTGGTGCCGACTACTGCGTGGTCTCGACTGACAATCGTGTTAGTAAAGGGTATTCTATCGCAACCAGGAATGGATCTAAAATCACCAAACTGTGAGTAAAATGCTTAATAGTTATATCTCGGTACTTGGTGATGACAGGACGGAGCGTTGTGTGATTACTACCAGTGGAATGTTGGCCGATCAGATCACCCTTCACAAGGTGTTGAAAGTAAGGCGACACTGGGCGGAGCCGTTGGGCTAGCTGGTGGTTCTTTCAGAATCGAGTAGCTCGCTATGTCCATGAGCACAGGCGAGAGCCGACTGTGGGTGCCGTGGCTCAGATGCTGTCGAATATTCTGTATTACAAGCGATTCTTTCCGTACGTGAAGGGACGGGCTGGGAGAGGGAATCTTAGGTTCAAGCGTGTTAGATATGAAGTGGGTACGGTATTGGTCATGTTTGAATTTCGTGATGGGAGTTTGATCGTAATTGTGGAGGAGGTTCGCTTTAGATACTACACTTTCAACATGATTGCTGGCATTGATGAGAACGGGAAAGGTGGTAAAAATGCCGCTACCAGGGTTCGAACCTGCGTCGAGTTCAGGTAAAGTGTACGGTTATGATGCTATCGGCTCATTTGAGTCCATCCCTTGTGGCGCCCAAGGCAGTGGTAGCTCCTTGGTTCAGAGTATCCTTGATAACCAGGTGGGCAAGTCCATACCCTCTCCCTCATTCGTGCCCGCATTCTCTCACTGTTCAGTTGACGAAGGCTCATCAGCAGCTTGCTTCCCATGAGGCTCTCACTGAAGGGCAGATGGTCGAACTGTGCAAGGATGTGATCGCCTCTGCTACAGAAAGGGATATTCATACGGGTGAGCAGAGCTGTAGAGTGTAGTGGCTTGAATGGTGTAGGATACAGGCGATAGCAATACGATATGCACGATCGACTCGACTGGCATCAAAATGCAAACTTTCGAGCTAAGGAAGGACTGAGTGGGACGGGCCTAGATACTAGTGCTGGTCATCGTGTGGTGATGAGTACTGACAAGTTTCGATGATCACTCTTCGCCTGTCATACTGTTGTGTCTGTCAATATCGGGGTTGGAGTTCTGTTGCCTAAGAGAAATGACGGGTGCGAGGATCGAACTCGCGTGAGGAGGTGAGCGGTAGCTACTCAGTTTGTATACAGCATCTTTCAACCGTGAGATCATCATGACAATGCTGGTACTGTATAATTATGATGAGGCTGGTCATGCTTGAGCAAGGATGGTACAGCTCTGGTGGAGAGTATTGGTCCTTCATTCTATCCTATTGGCAATACTGTACCGTAGTAATATATCAGTGTAGTTGAGGGAAAGTTGGTATGAGATATTTGTTGTATTTAACTCATGGCTGTGAAGAATCATTATCCTAGATCACTCAACCTCACATTTGGGTCAGCCATATCGTCGTCGGATCATCTGGTCATCAGTAAGCATCGTTACGTTCCTCCACAACCTCAGTTGTGGGTTTAATAACGGCTCTATAGATTGTTCTTCAACGGTTAGAGTGCCATGGGTGTTGAGCCCGAGGGACTCGCCGAAAACTTACTTAGAAAAGCCAATTCAATCGGCCGATGGTCCCTAGTGTTAGCCCAGCCGACGTCTAGAGGACCCAGTCTTTACACCCACAGCACATTAAAGCTCAGGTGATGCCGATGGAGACAAAGGATCCCTAGTGGGTTGTCCACACTCGAAGGGAGAGGGGTATGACATTTCTCTGGCGTCAGTGACAAGCGCTCAGCACTTCACGACCATTGAAGCGTTACCGTTCGTATTGCCATGTCTACACCCATGGCAATCGGGTGTTCATAGCTTCCTTCTAGTGCTCCTCGTAGGGTGGTGTTGGTGATAATGTTAATGGGGAGGTTGCAGTCTCGAAGGCATCATCATCCTTGTCGCGCTGTATGTCTGTGGTTGAGGAGGATGACAACGCAGAGCACAACATCTCGCGAATATCTACATCGCTTTCGCCGGCCTTGTTCGTGGACTTGCAGCAGAAAATAAAGACGTTGGAGAGGAAGCTCGCGTCGCGTGAAAAGGACCTCACGAGTAGGAGCGATGAGATCCATGGACCGAATCGAGCTCGGCTGTTGACAGGCACCAGAACTGCGTTGCAGAAAACCGAAGCCGACCTGAAGGTATCTCCATAGGGTAGAGTATGTGGTGTAAGAAGATCACCGTTTTCAGGAGTACTGGAAGGAGGCTCAGTTGCGCAAAAGGGAAGTTCAGGCGCTGGAGACGAGGCTCGAGGAGATGAGGAAAGAACGAGACCTTGCACTTGCCGAGAACAGGAGGATTGTGAATGACCGCAAGTTTCTGGTGTGCCAATCCGGCCTTCCTGAGAGGCTGGCGATCTGCTTGGTGACTTAGACGCGCTCACTTGCACGATCGCGAGACCAGTTGGGTGTCGTGGAGCTACAGCGACAGCAGGAGGCGATGTCCCGGGCGAAGGTTGAGGAGGAAAAGTTGGAGAAAGAGAGAGAAATTGACGCAGCGAAGAACAAGAGCCGCATGCTGGGTGTGCCTGTCACCACTAGAGTTATGATGAGATATGATACACTGGCGTGTTGTCAGCAAGCACGCAGTCGTCGTTGACTAGCCAGATCGCTATTGAGAGGGAACGTAGATGGAAATTGAAGAAGGCTGTGAGAGATAAACTGAAACGAGTGGAGGCTAAGGAGACCTTCATGAAGAGCGTTGTAATCGCGAACAAGCGCATCTTTGTCGGCGACCCCAGTACACTCTATGGTCTCAGCTGGATGACCACAGTATGACCGCTGAAGCCTGGGAGGATAAGTTGGCTGAAGAACGCGGCCGAACAGAAGAGGCACTCAAGCAGTTGGAACGGTGGGTTGATCTGCTCTTGTCGTGTGATTTGCACAATGATGATGATGGCGCAGTGCTAACGCACTCGCGTCGAGGCTGGAAGAGGCGCTTATTGGCAAGCAATCGGCGAAAGACCAGATGCAGTACCAGCTAAGAGAACTGCAGAGTGAGGGGAGTTGACGG